TACATTTTTCCCCATTAAATGTGGAGGCCAAGACAAGCTTCGTGTCGGCACCTGATTCACGGCACCTGGGCCCGAGCCTGAATTCAGCTAATTCCGCCCTGGCGAAGGTCCATAGAATCTGGCACATGCGACACAACTTCCAGGCCACTGGACGCGCAGACAGATGCAGACATCACCCCAATGGCCCCAATTGCCCAAGACCGAGCAGAAACCGAAGATCGGGATTCGCTTGGATGACCAATGCCATGGCGCCCAACCCTCAGTCCACCTTCTCCTCGGAGTCGTCATCGCAGCCATCACCTGACAGGCGGGGCATAGGCATCACGGCATGGATACCATGTCATGTGAAGCCTCTCCCCATCATGGAAGCACGTGCCACCCGGAAAGCTTACGTCCACTGCCAGTTCGACTGCACAACTGCAGCATGTTCAGCTCGCTGGCATGCTTGGCTGTAAAGGGAAGCCTGTGCTGACCCACTGTCACTAGAAAATAAACACCAATTTTGTGGCAAGGTTTCTTTGATGATCGCCAAGCCCTCCGGGAACGATGGGGAAACTGTCAAGAGGTTGTGCCGGTTGTGAGTTTCATAAGGCATGGATTGCACATTGGATCAGCTCCATAAACCAAACCTCACACCTGCAAGATAGAACCAGCAACCAAGTCATGGCCCCGCTTACCCACAGGATGCCTCAATTGCAAGAACCAACAACATGGTTCAGGGCATCCTGACAAAAGCATCAGGCAAAGGCTTATGTGTGAACATGGTCACCGGGAGAATCTTCAAGACGGATCGTGCAGGCCTTGTAGCCCGTGTTTAGTCAGCCCCCTTGCCGGAGCAAGGGGACGGCTGTAGCCGTCTCCCAGGCTGGAAGATGACAACATGTGCTGGATGTGCTTTAGCAGCTTGGCTTTCCAGTAATCCTTAAAACGAGACGTACATCTAGGCATGCATTTATGTAAATTACGCATGATGCACTTGAATGTACGCAACGGAGGATGCTATTGGGATGTGTGTATCATCTCGTATCCCTTCCCAGGGGAAAAGGATATTGTGTGTTTTCCCTTCTTCATAGACCCTTACTAGCTTCTTGTGGCAGCAGTCTCGGGCGATCATCTGCACTTGCACGTTTTGCAAGCCACCCGTTCCAAACTCGCTTGTTCAACAGGCCGTTCAAAAGTCGTTTGCGATTGATGCTTGTAGCTGGAGTCTGCTGTGGAGTGGTCGCCCTCAACATGCTATATAAGCCAACGCCGCACCCAACGCAAGACAGATCAAGACAGCACTGAACTCAAGCCTGTGCCGAGACATGTTTTCCAGCACAAGGCTCAAAATAGAATAAACACTATTCAGGCGATTTCAGGCGTACAACATGGGCTTTTCCAGGCGCTGCGTTTTGACCAGCATCCACGCCGTTTGCCCTTGCATGAGACCCTAAGGCGCTCTTGGCAAGCGCCGGCTGAATCTGCGTCACCATTGTCGTATTTGTGAGCGACCGGCCGGCCTCTCAGCGTGTTGCGCGGTGGTATCAGTGGTTGTGGTTGTGGTGGTTGTGGTGGTTGTGGTGGTTGTGGTGGTTGTGGTGATGGTGCTGTTGGTGCGGGTGGTGCGGCGGGTGGGGGTGGGTTGTCTGGCAGCGGCGGGGTGACATGTTAAGAAAGCGTATGATGGAACATGGGTTGAATGTAGCATATTCAGTTTTTGTGGCTGATGTCAGGAGTATGTAAAATAAGTACCCCAATATATATATATATTTCTTATACAACATTGACAATACAATACATCATGCATTTAAGCATGTTTTATGACTACATTTGATTCAACAAGAAACACCAACAATTTGCAGAGGCCCCACATGCCTGAAGCCGCAAACTCCTGTCAACAGCAATGCGGAACTATGTAATGTTTAATAAAAACTGATAAGTTAGTATGTATGTGCGTATATGTATATGTGCATATACGCATATGCAATGTATGAATGGCACGTATGCATGCATGTGTGTATGCACGTATGTTATGCATGGTGTGTATGCTATGTATGTTGTGTATGTGATGTATGTAATGTAATGTAGTGTACTGTGCATGTAAGATAATGTAGTGTAGTGTAGTGCCATGTAACGCGATGTAATGTATGTGTATCTGTGTTAAATGCATGTATGTTTGTATGTATGTAATACATGTATTGTTGCATTCATTATGTGTTGACGGACGTGATGTATGTAGTGTATGTATATATGCATGCATGCATGTACGCAATTGTATGCATGTATGCACGCATGTATGCAATTATGTACATATGTATGTATGTATGTATGTATGTATGTATGTATGTATGTATGTATGTATGTATGTATGTATGTATGTATGTATGTAATGTATGTATGCATGTATGTGTGTGTGTATGTAATGTAATCCAATGTAACGTAATGTAATGTAACGTAATGAAATCCATGTATGTATGTATGTAATGTAATGTAATGTAATGTAATGTAGTAATGTAGTGTAATGTAAGTATGTATGTATGTATGTATGTATGTATATATTTATGTATGTATGTATGTGTGCAATGTAATGTGAAGTAAGGTAAAGTAACGTAATGTATATATGTATGTATGCAATGTAATGAAATGAAATGTAATGTCATGTAATGTCATGTAATGTATGGTATGGTATGGTATGGTATGTAATGTAATGTAATGTAACGTAATGTAATGTGTATGTAATGTATGCATGTATTTACTGTAATGCAATACAATGTAATGTATGTAATGTAATGTAATGTATGTAATGTAATGTAATGCAATGCATTGTAATGTATGTATGTAATATATGTATGTATGTGATGTAATATTTATGTATGTATGTATGTATGTACGTGTATAGGCAGGTATGTATGTACGTACGTACATATGTATGTGTGTATGTAATGTATGTAATTTTATGTGTGTTACGTAATGTACCGTGATGCAATGTAATGTAATGGTATGTTATGGTATGTTATGTTATTGAAAAGAACGTAGGTATACAATGCAACATCATGCATTGTATTTTATGTAATGTAATGTAATGTAAAGGTGTGTAATGTATGTATGTGATGTTATGCCCTGTCATGTCATGTATGTAACGTATGTATGTAATGTGATGTAATCTAATGATAATGTAATGTATGTATGTAAGGTGTGTATGTATGTATGTACGTATGTATGCATGTATGTATGTACTGCATGTATGCATGTATGTATGTATGTAATGTATGTATGTATGTATGTAATGTAATGTAATGCAAAACAATGTTATGTTATGTTATGTTATGTACGTATGTATGTAGGTACGTATGCATTTATGTATGTAATGTAATGTAATGTAATGTAATGTAATGTAGTGTATGCATGTATGTAATGCATGTATGTAATGTATGTGTGTAATGTATGTATGTAATGTAATGTAGTGGAGTGTAATGTAATGTAATGTAATGTATGTATGTATGTAGGTGTGTGTATGTATGTGTGTATGTAATGTATGTATGTATGTATGTATGTATGTATGTAGGTATGTATGTATGTATGTATGTATCTATGCAATGTAATGTAATGCAATGTAATGTAATATAATGCGCTGCAATGTAATGTAATGTAATGAATTGTAATGTAATGTAATGTAATGTAATGTATGTATGTAATGTATGTAATGTATGTAATGTATGTAATGTATGTAATGTATGTATGTATGTATGTATGTATGCATGTATGTATGTATGTATGTATGTAATGTATGTATGTATGTATGTATGTATGTATGTAATGTATGTATGTATGTATGTATGTATGTATGTATGTATGTATGTATGTATGTATGTATGTATGTATGTATGTATGTATGTATGTATGTATGTATGTATGTATGTATGTATGTATGTATGTATGTATGTATGTATGTATGTATGTATGTAATGTATGTATGTATGTATGTATGTATGTATGTATGTATGTATGTATGTATGTATGTATGTATGTATGTATGTATGTATGTATGTATGTATGTAATGTAATGTAATGTAATGTAATGTAATGTAATGTAATGTAATGTAATGTAATGTAATGTATGTATGTATGTATGTATGTATGTATGTAATGTATGTATGTATGTAATGTATGTATGTATGTATGTATGTATGTATGTATGTATGTATGTATGTATGTATGTATGTATGTATGTATGTATGTATGTATGTATGTATGTATGTATGTATGTATGTATGTATGTATGTATGTATGTATGTATGTATGTAATGTAATGTAATGTATGTAATGTATGTAATGTATGTATGTGTATGTATGTATGTATGTATGTATGTATGTATGTATGTATGTATGTATGTATGTAATGTATGTATGTAATGTAATGTATGTATGTATGTATGTATGTATGTATGTATGTATGTATGTATGTATGTATGTATGTATGTATGTATGTATGTATGTATGTATGTATGTATGTATGTATGTATGTATGTATGTATGTATGTAATGTATGTATGTAATGTAATGCAATGCAATGTAATATAATGTAATGTATGTAATGTAATGTAATGTAATGTAATGTAATGTAATGTAAGGTATGTAATGTAATGTATGTATGTATGCATGCATGCATGCATGCATGTATGTATGTAGGTAGGTATGTATGTATGTATGTATGTTATGTCTGTATGTATTGTAATGTACTGTAAAGTAATGTAATGCAATGTAATGAAATGTATTGTAATGTATGTAATGTATGTATGTACGTATGTTATGTAATGTAATGTAATGTAATGTAATGAAATGTAACGTATGTATGTCATGTGTATTTATGTGTCATGCTATGTTATGTTATGGATGTGTGT